TATCTTGAAAAAGAAAAAGTTGGGGGACTCACAGTTCCCAATTTAAAAGCTTCTTACAAAGCTACAGTAATAGAAACAGTGTGATATTAGCATAAGGGTAGACATATAGATAAATGGTATAGAATTGAGTCTAGAAATCAGCTCATGTGTCTATGAGTATTTGATTTTTCAGAAGAGTGCCAAGGCCATTCAATGGGGAAAGAACAGCCTCTTTAGTAAATGGTGCTGGAACAACTAGATACCCACACGTAAAAGAATGAAGCTAGACTCTTACTTTCACACCATGTACAAACATTAAGTCAAAATGAATAAAAGACCTAAATATAACAGTTAAAATTTTGAAATTCTTACAAGAAAACATAGGGGAAATTCTTCATGACCTTGGACTTGGCAATGGTTTCTTAAATATGATACCAAAAGCACAAACTACCAAAGAAAAAATAGACAAATTGAACTTCCTCAAAATTAAAAACTGTTGTGCATTAAAAGACATCTAGAGAGGGCTTCCCTGGTGGTGCAGTGGTTGAGAATCTGCCTGCCAATGAAGGGGATACGGGTTCGAGCCCTGGTCTGGGAAGATCCCACATGCCGCGGAACAACTGGGACCGTGAGCCACAACTACTGAGCCTGCGCGTCTGGAGCCTGTGCTCCACAACGAGAGAGGCCGTGACAGTGAGAGGCCTGCGCACCGCGATGAAGAGTGGCCCCTGCTTGCCACAACTAGAGAAAGCCCTTGCACAGAAACGAAGACCCAACACAGCCATAAATAAATAAATTAATTAATTAAAAAAAAAAAGACATCTAGAGAGCATAAAGACAATCTACAGAATGGGAGAAGATATTTGTAAATCATATGTCTGGGTCTAGTATCCAGAATATATAAAGACGTCTTACAACTCAACAACCTAATTAAAAAGTGTGCAAAGAACTTAAATAGACATTTCTCCAAAGAAAATATACAAATGGCCAACAGCATATTAAAGAATGCTCAACGTCATTTATCATTAGGGAAATATAATCAAAACCACAATGAGATAATACTTCACACCCCACTGTTACGACTAAATTTAAAAAGACAGACAATAACATCTGTGGATGTGGGGAAATGGAATCCTTGTACATTGTTGGTGGAATGTAAAATAGTGCAGCTGCTTTGGAAAACAATTGGCAAAAAGTTAAACATGGAATTTCCGTATGATCCAGCAATTCCATTTCTGGGTATATACCTCAAAGAGTTGAAAACAGGTACTCAAACAAATATTTGTACGTGCGTGCTTACTTAGCCTGTTTACAATAACTGAAAGGTGGAAACAGCTCAAATGGCCAACAAAGGGTGAGTGGATGAACAAAAGTGGTACATACATACAATGGAATATTATTCAACCATAAAGAGGAATGATTTTTCTCTGTACATGGATGAACCTTGAAAACATTATGCTCAGTGAAAGAATTCAGACACAAAATGTCCTATATTGTATGCTTCCATTTGTATGAAATATCCAGAATTATTAAATCCATAGAGATCAAAAACAGACTGGCGGTTGCCAGTGATTGGGGGAAGGGAAGGGAGGATTGGGGACTTGCTGCTTAACGGGTACCAGGTCTTCTCTTGGGATGATGAAAATGTTTTGGAAATAGACGTGGAGGTGCACAACATTGTGAATGAACTAAATGTCACAGAATTGTGCACTTTAAAATGGTTAATTTTGTGTTATGTGATTTTCATCTGAATAACAAAAAATATAGAGATTTATCTTAAAAAAATGAAACCAGGAATTATGGAGTTAGTCTAATTTTTCTTATATCAGGTATTAATTGAACTATCTGATATATTTTCAAAATAAAAGGAATTAAGTGCTCATATTTTTTGGTATATTTTAAAATTACAGCATAATGACATTTTCCACTAAACCTTTAACTTTCACACTGTGATCATAGAAAGGGACAATTTTTGAAAAATATGTATGTTCCTAAGAACCAGCTCTTAATTTTGTGATATTAATCATTGGAACAAAGAGCATAGTAATTCCTTTTGTTGGCATATACTGGCGGGGGGGAAGAACAACAAAAAAATATGATGACCAAACTGATTGATTTTGGTGTGATTTACACATGAAAAAAGTATGTTCACTAGCTTCTTAAAATCTACCATATTCTTATTTATAATTCAAAAACAAGATTTGTTACATTGGTGAAATATATTTTATTTTATATTTTAAATATATTTAAATATTTTAAATATATTTTATTAAAAATAAATATATTAGGCAGGTAGAGTTTCAGAATATTTGTTAAACTATTGAATTTCTTTAGATTTCTTGCTCTGTTTTAAACTTAAACTTTGGATGAGATATGAACGTTAGAAAGTGCCTCCTTTAGCAAAATTCATTTTCACTAGCTGACTAATAAGCCTTTATAGGAGCAAAGGTTTATTCTATTTTAATTAAGCCTCCCAAACTTTCAGGCTCTTGAAGTTTTAACTAAGCTCTCATATTTGCCAAATTGGGCAAGAAACTTTATGAGAACAAATTTTATGATATAATATATTATAATTTCAATATTAGTTCAACGCAGCTGGAAACCAACTTTTCTTATAGTGTGGCAACATTTTATTTTTTTCCTTTTGGCCCTAATTAGGAAATGTTGTAATGAGCATTTGTGTTAAAATTATGAAGAGCAGGAAATTTGTCTCAAATCAATAGGTTGAGATCAGTGTCTGTTAAATATGGAGAGAAAATTATATATTGATCAAAATTACCTCATTGTGAAAAAAAAAGTAGGGGATACCTTTTTGGAATTAATAATAAAACTGCAAACTTGATTTCAACTTCAGATCCTTTAAATGCATCATTATATACATTTTTTATTTATATTAGAGGCAGATTCAGATTTAGGGAGCTTATAATTTTGAGCTGTAAGAAAAGGGAATATAAAATATGAATAAAATATTAGGTAATGGATTTTTGAAAGGGACAAGGCAAGTGTTATATTCTTGTTGCTCCTTATGAAGATTGAAAATGGCTAAGAGATACATAATAAAACTGTTAACTTGAAATAGGAAATAATAACTTAATATTTATGCTTACAGATACAAAACTTTTATATGAGTAAAATTTTATTTCACCTTTAATTTTGGGATGGATATTTTATCAAGGTATAGACTTAGATTCTAGATATTGCCCCAGCATTTTAACTATATTATTCCATTGTCTTCTGTATTCCATAGTTTATGTTGGATGCTCAGCTGCAAGTTTTATTGTTTTTCCTTTGAAGGTGATGTGTCCTTTTTTTCCCCTTGCTGTTTTTAAGATTTTCTTCTTATCTTTGATTTTCAGCAGTTAGCTGAGGGTGGTTTTCTTTCACATTTTCCAGTACAGGGTTGGCTGTATTCCCAGAGTCAATGAGTAATGTATTATATCAGTTTTGGAATATTCTCAGCTGTTTTTTCTGAAAGTATTGCTTCTTCCCCATTCTCTCTCTTCTCAACTACAATTACATTAGCTGTTTGATTCCAACATGTCTCTTATGCTCTGTTCTTTTTTCTTCTTCTTCTTCTTTTTACTTCAGTTTGGATGCTCTCTTCAAGTTCACTAATCCTGTGTTTTGCTGTGTTGAGTTGGCTAAAAACCCACCCACAGATTTCTTAATTTCAGATACTGTATTTCTCAGTTCTAAAATTACTATTAGATTCTTTTTCACAGATTTTAATTCTCTATTGAAATGTGAGAATTTTCATCTACTGTGAACATTTTTTGTATATCTTCTTTAACTTATGGTTTTCTTAAAGTCCTTGTCTTCTAATTCTGTATTATCTGTGGGTTGGCATATACTTTCAACTGTTTATTGGTCACATTTTGTCCCCTTTCCTGTACTTTGTAATTATTATCGTATACCAAATACTGTCTATACTAGGATAGAAATTGATGTAAATGTTATTTTCTTTCAATATTATATTAGAAAGAAATGATTAAGTGTTAACCGTCTCAACTCAGCCACAAATTGAGCTGGGTGGTTTGAGTGACAGCTTTAGATATACTTAGTGTGCCTCTGTTTTTAAATGTCTTAAGGGCCAGACCTGTTGCGTTGCAGTTATTCCTCTGTGCTGTGGCTTTGTACTAATGTACTATGAAATTGTTGGAGATTTTACTCTACCATTTGGCTTCTGCCCCCTTTTACTCATCTCACCTCTCAAGGTGGGATGCTTTTGATTGAGAGCAAATATCTTGAGGGGAGACCTATTGAAATTCTGCACTGAAAGTGGTAGGCTCCATCTGTTGTAGTGTGACTTTAACTCCTAATCACTTCTGCAGTGCAGAAAACATTATTTGCCCTGTGTCCCATTCTCTTCTCCTTCCCCCAGAACTTCTTGTGCAGTCCTAGGCCCCAGCAAATCTCCCAGAAGCAAACTGTCTGTGTCTTGTGGGTCCCATGGGATTCCAGTCTGTCATTGCCCGCCCAAGAGCTATCGCAAACTATGCTGGTTTCTCTTTTCCCTGGTAGTGTCCCTCTGTCTGGTTCTTACGTCTAGATGGTAAGTCCTCCCAGTAGTGAAACAATCAGGAGGCTCAGCTTACCCAAGAAGAGATAGCACTTTTCTCCTAGTTTATCCTTTTTGTATCCAAAGTTCTCCATTGTCTTTAAAAATATGATTTTGGGGGATAGTTTACCTTTTTTTGTTTTTCTAGTTGTTGTGGAAGCAGTGACTTGCCACTATGGACTGGTAAATTAGTCTTGTAAAAGTAAAATAAAATTTAGACCCGTATGTTTATTCTTTTATATATTGTATTTATATAAAGTCTGTGTGGTTAGATTATTGATGTTATTGAATGTTAATATTTGCTGTTTAATCTACCAGGCCCAGAAATTGATCATTCTTGATGTTTAGAAAAACCCTATCCAGAGAACCAATTTTAATTTCAAAATTCCTTTTGGACAGTAATAATTTAAATGAAATGTAAACAAAAATTAATTTTCTTTTTCTTTCCCCTTTTCCTGTTTAGTGAGTGATAGTTGCTTCAGGAATCTTGCAGAAGATCGCAGTGGGATAAATCTCAAAGATCTTGTACAAGATCCTTCTTTGTAAGTATTTGGTTTTCAGTATTAAGTGTAAATTAAAACTTTATGATTTGTGTGACTTTTTCCAGAAGAGTTGTAACAGAACTGATTTAAGGTTGAGTAATTTCTTGTTTTCTGACAATTTGTGTTACATATAGTGAAGCACATAGAACAGTTTCAACAGAAGTGAAGTTATGGAACACTTTCTGTTTAGAAATTGAGGAGATTTTAGAAGAAGAGATCAAGTTGTGATTAATGATTGACTTTCAAAGAGTATCTACTAATGGTTGATGATATCTTACCAATGTGGCAGTAGATAGTAGGAAGGGAAGATGGTTAGTAGTTGTTTTGCTTGGGAAGGCAAGACTGAATTTGTTTACATCAATTTTAAGCTTTTTTGAATAATTTATAATAATCATTTGTAAGTATAATTACAAATGTAAAACGGTTATTTGTAATAACAATATACTTGACTGTATTGAATATATTTCTGATGTTTTACATTAGAACACTATGTATAGCACAAGATTTTTGAAGAGTTTTGTAGGTTTCAATTTTTAATGTTCTGGCACATGAGTCAGTTCCATTCTTTATCAGGACATATTTCATATCAGAATATAATGTCATTTTCTATTTTTATTTCATGAATCAATTTTTTTCAGTTTTATATTAACTGCAAATCATGCATACTATCTTCTGTAGGAAAATATCCTTTCAGTAAGATCACCTTTTATTAAAAAAACATTCAATACTAGTTAAGCCCTGGGCAGCAGGGAAAGAAAATTGAGTGTGGGCAGATGCTTTCTTTAATGATACTTAATGCATTCAGTAAAATATATTATAACAAAAAATTACTCTTCCACATCAGATGTAATCTATACTCATCCAGATTTTACTAGTAATTCATTTAAAATTGTGTGAGGAATAAAACACAGGAGTGTGTTGAACCTGAAGGTTATTGATTTCATAATGATTTTCCAAGTCATTAAAAAAATATAGTTACAAGACAGAATGGTGAAAATGATTGAATATTGAAGTTATTGTAATGAACTCATTATTGTAACGAGTTTTGAAATGAGTTTCCAATCCCAATTCTCTAATTTTTTTTTAATGTCTCTCTTTTCCTCATTCAAAAGGATTGTCAATATTCTTTCTCCATGATTTTTATTGAAAGGAAGATTGATAAGTTGTCCTTTCAGTTCTATAAATATTTAATGAAGAATAGAGTCGTTCTATGTGGATATAAATATTCCTAGTAAGTAAATATTGAATAACATGTGCATGAGGATATGGGAAGAAGCTTTACAATATCATTGAAAGATGTCACCCATTTGGATAAAATAAATTATTCCATTGTATTATTTGTAAGGTATATTTTTGGTACAGTGGGATTATATATCTTTTTAATGCAGTGTTTTTGGAAAAAAATATGCTTATATGGACTTCAATAATATAAAAGCTGTGGAGAATATACTTGAAAATTGGATTATAATAATGAGTTGTAGTGTTTTGAAACACTTTGGTACTTCTTCCTAGAATGTAGAATAATATTCATAATGTCACCTATCACTAAAATAGGAATTTAATCTTAGAGAAAATTTCTAAGAGAAATTTATCTCAGATCACTACTGCATTGAAGTGGACAAAATAATTCTACGTCTCTGTTTTAAAGTAGCTAGATAGCTTAATTTAACATCATTCTCTTAACTTGGCATTAGTCTCTTGGCATTAGTCTTGAATGTAAGAATTCAGTGAGCAAGAATTTGTCTTTGCCCTTGACACTTGGATTTGGAAAGAACTTTTTTCTTAATAAGAATTGTCAAAATGTACTATTAATGACTGTAGTTCATTTTTTAAAGATATATTTCTTACTTGCTGAAATTCTGTAGGGGAAGAAATGCCTGATGTGGAAAACGAATGTGTTTTTTTCAGTTGTTATGATGGGAAATATTTTATTTTGAGTTACTATTCTATAGCAACATTAACTTAGTACATACCTTAGTACATACCTCTTGTCTGGCACAGACTCCCAGACTTTTGATGTAATTCTTTACTGTTTGTTCATCAGTTCATGTACACTACTTTTTGGTTCTATATGAATTGTTTATGTTGTAACATTAAGTAGAAAATATTTCGGAAATAACTTTTCTGCAAAAATCCCCTCAAAAAATAACTGGCATTTGATGAGTACTCCTGACTAGTGTAAGGGTTGCTAAAATTGTATAATATGTTATTTTAATAAATGTTCCAAATAAAAAATATTATTAGAATAAGGTATGTGTATTGAATGAATGCTCTATGTTAATACGCCTGGCAGATTTGTACTATGCTTCACCTACGTGAGCTCCTGATGCTGAAAGGAGTTGATGTGTGAAGAAAAATTAAGTACTGTGTTTCAATCACTAATGCTGTGAGAAAGGAAGACAGAATAAAGAGAGAAGGAAAAAGTAGGTTGAGAAGAACCCAGGCTAATCTGATCAATATTGACACTCAGAATGGTGTGTAGAGTGTCTTAATCAGATAAATGAGCAGGTATGAAATATCTGTGGACAAAGTATAGTAATAAAACCGAGTTGTATGTGTGTATATGTATGAATGAATGAAGTTTGAGAGGTTTACTGCCACAGAGGAGAGCAAAAGGGCAGAACCAAAAGTGACTACTTTATACTCGTATCTATGGCAAGCTAATGGAATAATGTGATAGATCCTCTGTAGTTTATCTAAACTGTGTATAGTACACAACCCAAGATTTTTAGTAAAATCATTGTAGTAAAAGTAATTATTGGGCTTGAGTGAACTGAGTGAGCTATATTGTGTGAACATGATGAAGGAGGGATGCCATGGGAGGAGAAAAAAAAATAAAGTTGTGACTCCCTAAGCAAGACTTTCTGATCTTGTTACTAACTTTTGATTTGTTGTAATAATGAGAGCAGAATCTGACTTGTGGCAAGGTTGTGGTGAGGGGAGTACATGACAAGCTCTCTTCTTTGGGTAGTTACTCTAAGAATATTTGTTTCTGTCGTAGTCTTGTAGGTGTTACGTACAAGACCAAGTAGAGGAACTTGACTTTCACTTTTTGCTAATAATGTGCCTAAAGATTTGTTTGACTTAGTAATTTGCATGCGTGTTAAATTTTGAAATAAACAATTAACAGTTTTAATTACTTATCTTCTATTTATGATTATAAACATTTTAAGAATGATTTCCTCTGCTGTATGTATAATTTGTCAATTTGAGTTGTTTTATGAGATTTCTTGTATTACTTGTGGTCTTCAATGGCACATTGAAAAGTGTCAAATGTAACTTGATGTTATGTTAGAAACGTATCTAATGTGATACGTAATTTTCATACATACAAGAAACTATTAACATGGTATAATTAATTTTTGTTCTCTTTAAGTGGAGGGTTATGTGCTATTTAAATCATGAAAATTTTTGCTTTTTCTTGTTATCTATGCTGGAGAGATGACTATTATATGAAAAAGAGATACTGTATATAGCATACAGGAGATACTGTATATAGCATACTTTAAGTTATATCAGTTGTGTTCTCTATAGTGATAATTCTCAAAAATGCTTTCAAATTTCCATTGTCTATTTGCTGAAGATGAAAGATAAAACATATTACCATATTTATGCTTTAGATTTGTTATTGCTTATTTATAAACTATTTAGCAGAGATAATTATGTGAACTCAGATTCATTTATAGAAATTATTAAAAGCTGTTTAAGAATCAAAAGAGGAAATGTAACATAAGAATGAAAAGGACTAACAGAAATTGAATACCTGTTTGTGCTACTCATTGTGTTGATGCTGATTGTGTGTGTGTGTGTGGAGGGGGTTATAGATGGATGTGCCTTGTTTGTTTAATTTGCAAAAGCTCTTAAAAATTTTGGTGCATCGTAGATATGTGATATGTAAATCAGAGGAAGAATTGTTTAATTCATAGAAGAATTGTCCATCTGTGAAAACTAGAAATATAATTCATAATGTAGGATATTAGTAATTTTCTTTATAGGGCAAATAGGGAAGGTTTATATTCCTTGAAAATTTTGCAAAACATGACAATTATGTCAGTCTTTGTTGTTTTTCTTTCTGTTATTCAGAATGTATTTTCAGTTGCTTCAGTAATGTTAAGATTTTGAAAAAGATTTTACCAAATTATGACCTCTTGTGATTTTTAAGAAAGGATGATTCAGTAAAATAGAAATCTTATTTATAAATTCTGGATAAATTGTATTATGGATGAGGAAATACTTCTTGTCAATATTCTTGGTGTTTTTTTTTAATTGTGGTAAAATAAGTGTAACATAAAATTTACTGTTTTAACCAATTTTACCATTTATAAGTGTACAGCTCAGTAATGTTAAGTATATACACACTGTTGCAGCCTATCCCTAGAGTTTTTCATCTTGGAGAGCTGTAACTTTATACCGATTAAACAATAACTCCCTGTATTCCCCTCCTCCCAGCCTCTGGCAACTACCGTTCTTTCTGTTTCAGTAGTTTTGGAATACTCTAGGAATCTCATAAGTGGAATCATGCAATATTTGTCTTTTTGTGATTGGTTTATTTCAGTTAGCACAATTGCTTCAAGGGAGTTCCAGCATGTGTCAGGATTTCTTTCCTTATTAAGGCTGAGTAATGTTCTATTATATATATATATATATATCACAGTTTTTTTACTTATTCATCCATTGATGGGCACTGAGTTGCATCTACCTTTTGGCTGTTGTGAATAATGCCGCTTAAAACATGGGTGTGCCAATATCTCCTTGAGACCCTGGTTTCAATTCTTTTGGATATATACCCAGAAGCAGAATTGCTGTATCATATGGTAATTCTGTTTTTAAGTTTTTGAAGAACTTCCATAGTGTTTTCCATAGTGGTTGCACCATTTTATATTCCTGCCAACAGTGCATAAGTGTTCCAATTTCTCCACTTCCTCACCAACACTCATTTTCTGTTGGTTTTTGTTTTTTAATATAGTAGCCATCCTAATGGGTGTGAGGTGATGTGTTCT